ATTAGTGCACTTGGGGATAATGAGTATAATGTCAGGTTGAGTGCGTGCGAAGCTCTGGATAAGATGGGCAAAAAGGCTGCAACAAGTGACGTCATTAATGGACTAATTAGTGCGCTTGGAGACAGCAATTATAATGTTAGGTGGAATGCATGTCAAGCTCTGGGTCAGATGGGTGAAAAGGCAGTAACAAGTGACGTCATTAATCGACTAATTTGTGCACTTGGAGACAGCAATGATCATGTCAGGTGGAGTGCATCTCAAGCTCTGGGTAACATGGGCAAAAAGGCAGCAACAAGTGACGTTATTAATGGACTAATTAGGTCGCTTGGAGACAGCAATTATAATGTTAGGTTTAATGCATGTCAAGCTCTGGGTCAGATGGGTGAAAAGGCAGCAACAAGTGAGGTCATTAATCGACTAATTAGTGCACTTGTAGACAGCAATGATCATGTCAGGTGGAGTGCATCTCAAGCTCTGGGTCAGATGGGTGAGAAGGCAGCAACAAGTGTGGCCATTAATCGACTAATTAGTGCGCTTGGAGACAGCAATGATTCTGTCAGGTGGGGTGCATGTCAAGCTCTGGGTCAGATGGGTGAAAAGGCGGCAACAAATGAGGTCATTACTGGACTAATTAGTGCACTTCGGGATAGTGATGAATACGTCAGGTCGAATGCGTATGAAGCCCTGGGTCAGATGGGTGAAAATGCAGCAACAAGTGTCGCCATTAATCGACTAATTAGTGCACTTGGAGACAGCAATGATTCTGTCAGGTGGGATGCATGTCAAGCTCTGGGTCAGATGGGTGAAAAGGCAGCAACAAATGAGGTCATTACTGGACTAATTAGTGCACTTGGGGATAGTGATGAATATGTCAGGTCGGCTGCATATGAAGCCCTGGGTCAGATGGGTGAAAAGGCAGCAACAAGTGTGACCATTAATCGACTGATTAGTACACTTGGGGACAGCAATGATTCTGTCAGATGGGGTGCATGTGAGGCCGTGGGCAAATTGGGTGAAAAGGCAGCAACTCCACAGGTGATCGATGCACTTATTGGTGCACTTCAAAATCGAGATGTGAAGACAAGACAGAAGGCATGCGAAGCGCTTCTTAGAATGGGAGAGAAAGCGGCAACTGATTACACTATCAACGCACTTGTTGCGGTACTGATGAATCGAAATCGGCACGTCAGTCGAAGTGCATGTCAGGTTCCTGGAGCGATTGGTGAAAAAGCTGATACTGATGAGATGATGACCCAGGTGCTTCCTGTGCTCAAGTACAAGACCGCGGAGAACCCATGGAGTGCAAGTGACGCTGTAGGAGAAATAGATGAAAAAGAAAGTGACAAAGTGACGAATGAACTGATGACTAGATTTTTGTGTGAAGAAAACGAAGATATGGATGAAGTCATTGATGTACTCGGAGTATTTCTTGTTTCATTTCCTGCGTTGACGCAGCTACAGTCAGATACAATTCGAAAACTTTACAATTGTATGCATCAACTTAATTTACGTTACCTAAGGAGTGTCATTGTGGAGCAATTCATCAAAGTGTTTTTGCATACAGAAAATTGTGCATGGCTACCAGTCGTAACAATGATTTCAATTGTGCACGAAAATGCTGTTTGTGTTACTAAGAATAGTATTGTGGTGTATGGCAATCAGGAGCCAGTAGAAATGTTTATTCCAAATGAACAACTGCGGCGGAAATTAGTTGAAGCATTTCACGATCAAGTGGAGAGACTGTACTTACCTTCAGAGATGCTGTCGAAAGCTGGAGTAAACGCAAAAGGGTGTGTACGCTTCTCCATCTATGTTGGAGTTTCTGTAATAGAAACATATTTTTACTAGACTAATGCAAGTGTATTGATCCATACATAACCTGTAGTTCAATCTCAGATTTACATAGGATAAACAGAATTGTGAAGTATGACCTGTTCAATCTGGAATAGGAGATTTGCCCGAGGAATTCTGAGCCAATTTCTAACTATAAAATGGACTAATCCATATCCGGATCTATGGATAGGCAAGGTGAATGTGAGATTGTTCTACAATCAATACATTTTTAAACGTTTATCTAGTGCAACCTATACATACATACACATGCAAACCTATATTCATAAGTACAGTTGGGTGTGGGTATGGGCGTTAGCCTTGTCTTCATCAACACCCACACCCGACAAATGTGTATCCAGATCCATGCTTCGAGTCGAGTCGAGTGCCGGGTACCTGACCCGGTTGCAGAACACTAGTCTTAACTTTTTATAGTAAATATTGGTGTTAAATTATATTTCATTTCGTTCTAGTGTACAACCTGATGATATTGTGAAATTTCGTTTAAATGAAGATGATCAAGCAACTAAACATGTCCCCTTGGGTACCAATCTGAGTAAATCACTTGTTTGTTTGTTAAATATAACACCTCAATATTGTACTTCATGTAGCTTCTGGAGCATGGTTGGATACAGCTGATGCAATTGAAAATATTATATTATGTTTTGATGTGGAACTGCCTGAGAACAGCACGTTATTAAGTCATAAGATTACAAATTTTGATAATCCATTCAAATTTATTGCAAATACTTTATCTGTGAAGGACAAGACGATATATCTGGTTATCGCAGTAAACAAGCGCCATTCTATCATCCCAATAATACATAAACATTATTGTGTTGAAAAAATTTATTTGTATGGGTCTGCAGATACTGAATCCTCATCCAACTGGTCTTCAATATCCGAAAAAATCAGTAGCCTCTGTTCCGATATTAAACAAGTATATAGTCAAATTGCTAATGATATCAAGGTAATGGCGAAAAGATCAGTACCTAGGGATCGATCTTCTGATTTGTTCATACGTTTACACACTCAGCAGTTAGAAAAACGATCTTCTATCATCAAAATATCAACTGAAAAATCACACGATGAACGCATTGTTATTTTTCACTGCGAGGATCGGAAACTTTTCCATACAGACCAGAGATCAATTCCTATCAGTGAACCTACTGATGCACAGGAATGTGTTCAGCTAATTACTAAAGAAACACAATCTCGAATATTTCTAATCATCTCTGGAAATATTATTCCAACAGCAATACAAACAGTCTTCGGTTTTCCACAGATACAAGCTATATACTTCTTTCAACGAGTTGAAATGGAATATTTGATTAATACTAGAAAAGTAAGTGGTCTATTTAACAAACTAGAAGACCTTACAGAACAGTTATACAAGGATATCTTATTTTATCGTGAACAGCACATGCATATATCTCGTATTGATATGTTTTCGACCATGGAACGAAAACAAAATCTTATTGTTCAGTTCAATGAAAAACAAACTATCTTCCTTTTGTACAATTTATTGATTGATATCTTATGCGAAGCCCCGTTATTAGAATTTAAACTACAAGATCTTATAAAAATATGTGACATTTTATTTCCTAACCAAGGAACTGAAACTGCACATTATGTCAACCAATTATATGAAGAGAGCGACGAAGTGAAGAATTTCGATCAAGATCCTAGATTTTCGCAAATTGTTTTGAAACTTCACCAATCGAATGAATTAAATGATCTGTTTATTTTACAAAAACCACTTATGAAAATTCAAAAACGTGTATTGGAATCGTCTAAAATATCCGCCGCGAAAACTTTACATAGCGTATATCTTACCAAGATTATCTCGTACTATACGCTTGAAATGATGAAATCTAGTTGTGGCGAATACATTAGCATTGGTATTTTTCTTCTTGCTACCAAATCTTTGCAAGTGGCACGTACTATCGCACGAGAAACGGCAGATAACGGTCTTATATCTGTTCTTTTCGAAATTGAAGTCCACAAAAACATTCATTTGCTGAATATTGACTCCAATTGCGTTATTTTTCGTCTTAGTTCAGTGTTCCGTTTGGAATCAATCAATCTCGCACCTGATGGCGTTTGGTATGTGAAAATAAAATGTGCTGATACAGAATTTCAACTTATAAAAGATCAACTCCAGTTTGAAACCAAAATACGGTTATCATGGTTAAATTATGGCAACTATTTAGGTTTCCTTAATCGATTGGAGCTAGGTGTAGTTTACTTCAACTATTTACTCGATAAATTGCCACCAGGAGACTTAGCTCGGTCTTCCATTTACAATAACATTGGCTTGATGCACTCTATGAATAATAGAGATGATGAAGCATCTAAGTATCTTACGTTTGATAAGCAATGTGCTAACTTAATTACCTCAGATGTAAGGGATAATACACAGCAATATGAATCAGACAGGGCGATTCCGCAAACAAACATTGCTTTACCAACAAGTATCGTTGATTATTCTACTATATTAGGCAACATTGCAGATATATATTACGAAAAAAAAGATTATTCAAAAGCGTTGGAATTTTATAAGAAAGCAGTTGAATCAACTGCCGATCAGCGTTGCTACCACTACTATCAAGAAATGATTTTGACTTTATCAAAGAAAATGTAAAAAAAACCGAACATTCATATTATTTAAAAAAGATACATTTGCTGTATTATTTTAACGAGACTATTTGATTTGTACTATTTTAGATGATATTGTCGAGCGATAATAAATCAATTACAGAACCAAGTCCTAAGCAGACCTTCATTGGTATTTTGTTACATGACAATAACTTATCTGAGGACAGCATACATAGAATGAAACGTTGTTTAAGTCGTACGTTTTATTACTATCGTATATTTAATGACATAGAAGAATTCTCTACATATATCGATAAAGAACGGCTTGTTGTTAAAATATTTCTTATTATTTATCATGAAGAACTATACATTTCGTTGACTGATATAGCTCGATCTGACACAGAAATATTTCAAAAGGTTTACGTCTTATTACCCGAAGAATCTGAAAGATCAGATGACACATTCTGTTTCGTAACTCCATGCATTAAAAGATTATTTGATAAATTATTCAGCGACATATTAAAATTTACCAACGATGAAGACCAGTCAAACGTCTTTGCAAATCATACATGTATAGAATGCAATCTTCAAAGTACGCGTCAAGTAAATCGAATATGCCCATCTTTGAGCGTCTTCAATCCAAAATGCCGAAAAATCAAACCTATCCAACATTTAACCAAAGAGTATCTTAATTTTTTGCGATTTTTAACGATGACAGATATTCTTATTGGAATAAATTACGATCGCGAAGAGTTATTAGACACATGGACGGCTTGTCGCAATCTTTACAAGGAAAATAATATTCAACTTGATGAAATTGATGAATTAGCAGAGAAGTATGAAGAACGCAAAGCAATTGAATACTACACAGGAACCGCATGTCTCTCTCGTGTTGTAAATCAAGTTTGTCACACTGAAGATATACGACAGATCTTCAGTTTTCGTGTTTATATGAGCGATTTGCACAATCTGCTAGTTTCACATTATATAGAAGGAGAAAAAAATGGAATTCGTTCATGTATCAAAGATGTATATCGCGGTAAGCCACTATCAGGAAGTGTTTTACAGCAATTGATTGACAATGAACATGGTTTGATTTCCATGAATGGCTTTCTTTCTACAACAATAGATCAGGATGTTGCTTTGGAATTCGCCGGGTATAACCAACAAATTGATAAAGGATATAAAAGTACTCTATTTTTATTAACAATTGAAAAGGAAGTAAGACGACCATACGCATATATTGGCCACTGTAGTGCAATGCAGAATGAAACAGAAGTTCTATTTTCACTTGGTACTATTTGGCGCATTAAATCTGTTACACATACTAAGAATCCATGTGAAATTGAACTATCATCATGCGATGATATGGACCCACAATTGACTGAAATTCGTGAGAAATATATGGAACAAGGATGTAATTTTTTAGCATTGGGTGATATTTCGCATGAACTTGGAAACGATGATGAGGCCGAATGGTTCTATGGCAAAATGCTCGAACAAGATTCTATCAATGGTATAACTCGAGGTATTTTATGTTACAAAATTGGAATGATACAATACGAAAAAGGAGATTTATCCGGAGCGTTGGAGAATTTAATTAAAGCAACATCATTACTTCAACCGCAGATTAATGAGTCGGACATGATTAGATTACCTTTTTTTGAGATCTTTAATACTGTCGGATCAATACATCACAAGAACAATAGTTTTGGCAAAGCAATTCAGTATTTCGAAAAGGCATTGCAAGAACAAAATGAATCGACATCGGAAACAGCGAAAGTGCATGACAATTTAGGCGTTCTTTATTATGGTCGTGGAAGTTATGAAAAAGCACGGGAACATCTTGAAAAATCTCTTTGCTTAATTGATGAAAGTCATCCACACTGGAAAGAGTTTAACAGCCACCTCCACTATGCTAAAAAACGTTGCCAACATCTTGCAAACAAACAGAAAAAGTGATTTAAAACAAAGAACAAATTCGAGCGACTCAATTCAATAATTTTTTTCTTTTACATTTTTCTTTTTTCTGTAGCTTGAGTCGAGTTTTTGGCTATTATATGTTTAATTCTTTAGATGAAGACGTTACTATTTTGTTTGCAAAATATAAATGAAAATCTCAACAGTGCAGCTTCCTTCATAGGGTGTGGGTGTGGGTGGGTGTGAGTGTGGGTGTGAGTGTGGGTGTGGGTGTGGGTGTGGGTGTGGGTGTGAGTGTGCCTGGTTTGTACTAACATCCACAGCGACATCCACGCCGACGCCCACACCCACACCCCGCACCCTTGCTCATAGTATTGTTCGTTTGAAACACACGATTGAAAGGTAGGGGTGGGAAGTTACCGTTACCGTTCCCGGGTAACGGTTCGGGGACGGTAACTTCCCACCCCTATTGAAAGGCCAACGCACGTAAACTAGATATGATCGAAACCTTCGATTTCAATAATTAGCGAAATACTGATACAAATATATTGAAAATCGAGCGAGTAAAATGAATTTCATTTAATAAACTTTTGAATTTTACCTAACCCCAATATGGAGACCTGAAACAAGAGTGAAGCCGTTCCCTGTGGCACACGATTGCTAGGTCTCGGAATGTTACGAAAATATGCTACACCGTTACTGTCAGTGCAAACAATTAATGTTATTGGTTTTGGTGTCAAAAAGGTACATAAGTCGGCTACAAATGAATGTAATCTTGATTCTTTGAAATATATAGCCTCATGTGCACTACAGATAGGTGGTGTAAACGCAAACACTTTGAAGTATGTAACAACAATCGTACAAGATATTGATGCAGTTGAAGGTCTGTTATCTCATAATTTCAGTGAGATAATAAGAATAAAAACAGTAAATAATTTATTGCAACTATTTAGTGGCGAGAGTGCATTACTGTAAGACAAAGAAAAGGAAATTTTAAGTCTAGTATTCACTGTATGTGCCGATTTTTCATGCTTTGATATAAATAATATACTACTTCCAATGGAACCTCGTGTACTGTCCATCAAGAAGATTGACCAAATTGAGTCAAAATTATCACTATCACCGCTAAACTGACGAATCTGAAATATTACGTGCCCATAGTTAGACGGGACCGAGATATTCCATTTTTCAGATATCTGTCTTTGTGGTATTGAAACATGAGAATATCGAAAAAACTCACGGTTAATGATTGATAACAGTCTGAGATATTTCAAAACATCTATTTCATTGGCGCATAAGTTCTGAGAGTTTGGATCAGTAGAATAATATCACCAATATAAAACTATATTTTAAGAAAAGTAATTATATATTCTCATAGCGCTCGGAATTCTCTATCACCCTGTGCATTTAAGTTTTGACTTGCATTTATTTGCTGAAAAGTATTTTGAATACAATGAAGACACCCTCACCCGCATTGTCAATGTTCGAAATATTTCTCAGCAAATAAGTTCAAGTCAAAAACTGAATACACAGGGCGATAGAGCATTTCAAGAGCTCTCAGAGTATGTAATTACTTTTCTAAAAAACGGATTACTATATAGATAAAAATTTTAAAAACACATGAGAAAAGAAGAAAAAATGAAGTTTGTGGGAATGTGAGGGCGACGGTGTCTTCACTGTACTCAAACTATTTTTCAGAAAATAAATGGAAGTCAAGACTTAAATACACAGGGTGATAGAGAATTCAGAGCGCTATCAGAATATATAATTACTTTCCTTAAAATGTAGTTTTATATTGGCGATATTATTCTACTGATCCATACTCTCAGAACTTATGCGCCAATGGAATATTTTTCGCAGCTTATTGAACTTCTCTAAGGACATAAGAGGCATATTAAACGCACTTCTTCGGCAGTTTCATCGATATTCTGTACCCAAGTGATAGAAACTTCAATATTTATCTTCGAGAACCTGTAAAGTATTATCATCTTTGACCTTATTTCAAAAACTGGTTGATTTTCTAGAAATATAGATGAAAATCTCCAACTTAATGAAAATAGTAGAGTTCTTTTCTACACTAGGCACACTTTAATAGTGTTCGTTCTTCATAAGTAGCTGTTGAGCGATAGAGATCGTAATATTGAAAGCAAATATTCTTCGGTTTATCAATGCTGCGAATGTTTACTTCTATTATGTTCGCCCGTGTAAAGCCAAACTTGATAAGATTTGAAAATTTTAGAGCAGACAGTTGATTATGTATGACGGAATGAATGTTAATGAAATATTGACGATCAGTCAAAGTAATTTCAGTTCGATTGAAATGAGTATGATGTTCTATTTTCTTATGAAAATATCTCTATGACAGAAATAAAGATAAATCTTGCGGTTGAATGTGACCTGTTGATCCTTCAAGAAAAATCAACAGTTGCCATCTCGATTCGGAAATACTGCTCTAAATTTTTTTTAGATTAGCTTGAGTTCTTCAACAATCAAGTAGAAGAAGAAATTTACTGCCGACCAACGGACGTAGAACTTTATGTAAAAATACACGATGTGTTTCGTCGCTACTCTTTCCAGATTCGGAAGCTCGCACTACAACGTTTGGTGGTACTATCAAATTCGTTTGAAGCATCTTGCCAAATTTCTTTTCTTTTCTTGTAGGATCAACAGGAATTTGTCTAATAGTTGACCCGCAGCTGATATTATAGGTTGGACTGTGTAAGAATGCATTACATTTCTTTTCTTTCTAACGGCAACTTCATTTGTTCTTTTACCAGTAAAATATAACGTTCTTGAAGGAATGTATTCTTGTTGAAACGAACAATGATCACTGTTTAGAATCTGATTAGGAGAACAATGTGAAAACAAAGATCTTTGATTTTTCACCCAGTTTTGAGCATCTAAAGCATATACTTAACGTCAAAATAGGCTCATCAACTTTTTTTACAGAACTAACTACCTTCTAAGTTGCAAACTTTTTTGTTTGTGGAGACTCTGGTGATCAATTTGTTGTATCTTCTTGATGAAATTCGATGTTCTTTCTTGACCACGAACAGAAACGTTTCACTGACTTTAAATTCCTCCCAATCAATTGCTTTGCCTATTAAATTGTGAAACGCTGTAGATCAGTATCCTGAATGACTTCTTTTTCAACCACTCGCTGCACATAAAGTTCATCCCAAATGAATTGCTTGATTTTTTCGAGCTTTTCAAGTCTTGTGCCGCTTTTTTATAGATTCCCGAGATATTGTGACATATTTTGGAGATTTGACTTTGCGAAATCGATGTCTTATAGTCGTAAACTTATAATTTTGATGTTGATCGACCCATTCAATAATACTCTCCATTTCTTCTAACGTGAACTGATTGTTGATCATATTTGTGTCTTGATGTTCATCATCATCCTCGTCATCGTCAGATTCATCCAAATTTTCTTCATCAGAACTCTTCTCTTCCTCGCATATTTCATCATATCCATCATTGAAATCGAAAGTATGATACGCATCAAGTTCACTAAAGTGACTATCTTTGAACGATTTCAAAACTTCAAATAATTGCTCTGCTGCAGCAATTTCTTAGCACTTGCTTGTGACATTTCACGAGGAAAACTTTTCTCAATTAGAAAAACAAGATGCTTTGCGATATTCAATAGGTTCATGGTTTCAATAGAATTACACTTTTTAATGATAGTGGTGTATTGAAGGATAACAGAAAACGTTACTTTAAATCCACGTTTAATCATGATCTCGAATCACCAATCACAAATACATTCTTTGCAGAAAATATTCGAATATTATCTATCCATCTGCCAGTTTCTTTTGTGTTATTTATCCTGTATCATCATTATCTTCATTGAAACTCATCGAGATCATGTTTCAAGTAATAATTGAGGGCCATTCAATAAGCTGCGAAAAATAGATGATTTGAAATATTTCAGACTGTTATCAATCATTAACCGTGAGTTGTTTCGATATTCTCATGTTTCAATACCACAAAGACAGATATCTGAAAAATGAAATATCTCGGTCCAGTCTAACTATGGGCACGTAATATTTCAGATTCGTGAGTTTAGCAGTGAGAGTGATAATTTTGACTCAATTTGGTCAATCTTCTTGATGGACAGTGCCCGAGGTTCCATTGAAAGTATATTTAAATTAAACCAGACACCTATTAGCATATTACCTGTAGGGTGTGGGCTTCATTGAAGGACGGAGAACACCTACACCCATGAGGTAACTTACGAGCGAAGCATAGTTTTGCGCTACTATGCTCACCTGTAAAATTTATTATATAAAGAACAGAGCATAACAATACTTATCGTGCTCGAGATAATATTACTTATCTTTCGTTACTTTTGTGAGTGATACACAAATATAAAGTAGGTTCGAACAACAGTTCGTTATTTTTTTTCGAGTTTAAGCTTTTTGAG